GCGGCTGGTGACTACGATCGAAGTCAGTTCACTTGTCTCGGCAGGATATCTGTCACTCTTTACCAAAATTTGCCTCCTTTATGGATCTGGCCTGACCTTAAGTTGACCTCCAGGGTGTTAATTCCAATGGCTCGCCAGATGCGCTATGAATTTTATTTAATCGATATTGGTGAATTCTACTCAAAGCAATGGCTGGCAAATGATTGGTCGTGTCGTGGCTGAGAGCGTGAAGTTCAGCCTGCCCCTAAATGTTGTATGCTGTGTTCACCATTTCACGGCTTCTAGTGTCAACACCGATTTGCACTTCGCGTGACAGCTTAACTGAAAGACAACTGTTTTACACTAACAAAATTTTTAAAAAAATATCGGTTAGTAAAAGTTTTGCTTCCCGTGGATTTTGGATTACCAGATTTTTGGCCTTTTTAAAAAATTGCGCAATTTAACTTAAAAAGAAAGTTTGTCATGAATTGCTGAGTAAAACCTGACAAAGAGTTTTCCTCTGCCAAACTCTAAGACTTGTACGTCTTATATGACAAGACTGAACTGTTTAAGTGAACTTTTAGGGGTAAAATTTTCATCCACTCCCAACTTTAGTGCCCTGGTTTGCGTAGCGCGCAACCACGGCGGCACAAAATGACTTTCACCTCAAAGTCGACCTACCCACTCTGTGATTGTGGACACGGGGTTAAATCGAGGTCAGCATCCCAGAGTTAAAAGTACAGATATTTTTTATCAGTAAATGTGTTTTTTATTGCACTTTCGTAAAAATACATGAAATGCGAAAATAAAATTGTTTAAATCAACTGTTTTTCGTAAAACGGAAATTTCTGCTCTGGGGATCATTCGAGGAATTTTAATTTCAAAATATATATTTAAAAAGATTGCACTAATCAATATCGCAATTTGTTGGGAAAATTTTTTTTTATTTTAGTGACAAATCATTTACGATCCGCGCAAATTGAATTTCAGTCAAAATGGGACAATCCTCGAAAGGTGTGTTTTTTGTATTTTTTAAGGAATTTTCCAAAATTCAAACTAATTTCCATAAATAGAATCGTTTGAATTTTGACTTTTTACTAAAATTGTACCATTTTTTGAAACTTTGTCAAACTTTCCATCTGTAACTCTTCAAAAACTTTTGATCCAGCTCACGTACCCAATGTATCTGCCATCTGGTTGGTAAGGTCGACAATATCAGAAATTTGGATACCGCTACCTCTGAATGTCACGAGTGGTCAGTGACACGAAAAGGTCAGGCTGAATATCGATTTTTGAGGGAGTAACTTGGGTATGCTGAAGTTCCCCAAAATTCACTTATGTTATCCACCTCAACAGAACAGTCGATCCACGTCACCGGTAACCTGTTAGAACAATGCCTCGACCGAGTTTTAAGTTGAATCAAAGAAACCTTTTTAGCCAATTGCAAATCACTTCGTGATCCATTAGGCAGATGAACAGGAAGCCAGCGACCAGCCCGACGTGAGTCATGTGTGTTTGTGTGTGATCGTGTGTGTGCTGCAGTCACGGAAATACGCAAATGACCGAATTGATTTGGCTTGTTTTACTTTCAAATTCCCTCTGATTTGCTTGCTCTGAAAAGTTAATGTCAGGCAATCGTCTGCAATGCAGACGGATGAACACATAATTCTGGTCTAGAAGACTCACACCACATGTCTCTACGCTCAGTTTGGCATGCCTTCTTGTCAGCACCTAGACGTGCTCCTCTACTAGTACCTCGGTCAATATGGCGCCTAATTCATTATCGTTATCATTTCAAATTGAACGTTATAACAAGACTCCAAGGTCACACACTTAATAGCAAATACCGGGAACCACATTAGGAACTTTCAGTTTCATGTAGCTTCCGTCAGCCGAGAAGATTGTCAGGGAAAATAGCAGTTCAGTTCAGGCGTGTTTTGTGTCCACAAAAGTTTGATTTCTGATTTCCTGATGCTTTCGTGGCTGCTTTAAGCGCATTTATTTTGCTTTCACTTTAATCAAAATTACCAAACCGATTCAAAGTACTTACGAAGGTAAAGCTGAACAGAAACAATTGTTTTAGTACAAGATCGGTCATCTAAACGGAGTCTATCTCAGTGTTGTATCTTCTGCTGATAAAGCTGTGTCCTGCTGCAAAATCTCTTTGCAATTCATCCGCAATATGTCTGCTTCACGCAAAAGAAAAATTGTGTCAGCATTTTCTGAACCGTCATTTCTAGTTCGCTTTTGTCAATGTGATTTACTCTACAAACCGGGGCCAATATTATTTTCAGCACATGTCGACTGTATTGTAAAAACCAGTGACCAATGAAAATTCACGCGGTTGCCACTACACCATTTTGATTGGCTGAGCAGTTAAAAAGGAGTTTTGGTTCGTGTGCGGACCAAATGCGCAGAAGATCAGGTTGGGACCGAAATGAGGAAAAAAACTATAAATAGTTGCTGATACCTTCAGAAGGAATTGAACTAACTCATTCTGTAATATTTGGTAAAAACTGATCTGCACATTCGGACTCGGGTTTGCTGATCCAGTTTTTTACCGTGATGGCAGGCGTTCAGTTCCGCTCATGTAAAATCGGTGTTGGCTTCAAGGTCAAACCTTCTCGATTGAGACCCGCTTAGGGAAACGTCTTCTCACGATAATGATGTTTTACCACTCTGAGGGGGCAGTATCCAAACTTAGCAGCATTTGGTTTAAGTTTATGACTCATTGTATGAATTTTTGCGTAAATGACTATACGTCATATGGATATTTCCACCCGCAAGAATTGTTTAAGTATAATTAGTCAGCTTCCACTATGAATCATAATACCATGGTCTACGTAATACAACAGCCCACTTCACATCGCCTGTGTCATGGAAACTAAAAGATTGCCCATTCTAACTACCTTTGTTTTAATAATTGCCACTAACTACTGATTGGTTCCCGTAAAACCCCCTTCAGTTCAGACCAGTCAAGGTCAAGGTCACCTAGTTTTCCAGGCTTTTGTCTATTGCAGAGATCAAAATGAATATTTCGAATTTTGTGCCCAGCACAGCTGAATCCTGGCACATTATACCGAATTTCAACAAACGTAGTTTTTCGCTGCTACACTTCAAAAAGCGGGAAAACAGTATCATGAAACGGGAAATCTTTGGTGTCTGATTCATCTGTATACGTCTTTAGATGCCCGAAAGCGTCGTGTTAAGCATCGATTTGTGTGGGAGTAACTTGAGCATGATAAATTTCCTTCAAGATTGACTTGATTTAAGCAGGGGATGACCACGGGACAACTGGTTCGACACCTCCTTGAAATGCTGACCACACTCTCTACAAGTCTCCACATTCCTGATCCGCGTCAAGAGTCGTTATTGCTGCCCAGGCGGTGTTTGCGTGTTGGCACACTTTCACTGAAGGTGTCTGTGAATGTCGTGCAATTTAGCGAATTACCGATATTTGTAAACATCTTCCAGTGCTGAAGTTGCGGTTTAGACGCAAGCGTCTGGACAGCGTTCAACTGCAATCGCCGGTGAAGGTGTAATTGGTGTGTTTGTGATCGCGACATCCGTTGTGCATTCATGACACAACCTAATGGCACCGCGTAAATTAACTACCTTGTCACGTGTGGTTCGCGCTGTCTCACAGACACAACGAAACACAAACACAGCGTTGCCCAGGGTCGCGGCGAATTTCATCAAAGAACGAGTGTTTCTGCGTTGACTGGTTCAGCAGTCAGCTTCTAATGGCATTTTTGTTTAAAATTGGGTAATTTTTTCAGCACACAAGTCAATTCTCGGACTTCACGTGTGTGAAGACCGTCGGCACGGGCTCATTTGGCCGAGTCTGTCTTGCCCAGCACAAGCGCTCAAAACGCTACTACGCCATCAAGATACTCCAGAAGGCAAAGGTACGCTAGCCCTACCTCGCGGAACCTAGTCGATTTCCATGTGGCGCTTCTCATTTTCTCGATGTCCTCTTTTTTAAGATTGTGAAACTGAAGCAGGTGGAACATACGCTGAATGAGAAGCGAATTCTCTCCTGCATCAACTTCCCATTCATTGTGGCATTGAAGACACACTTTAAGGTCAGTATGTGTTAAAAAATTTTCTATTGGACAATCAATAGAATAGCAGATAGGAGATTGGTTTTCGCATCTTTGGCTTATCATTGGTTAAATTCAATCTAAACGCTTCACCCCGCACAGGATCAAAATGTTGTGGTTTTTAAAAACACCGCACCCACTTAGACTAAGAGTTTTGCGTATTTTAGGACAATGCAAACCTCTACATGGCACTCGAGTTTGTAAACGGTGGAGAACTCTTTTCGCTCCTACGAAGAGAGGGGAAATTCAAGTAAGCTTCGCCGTAAGGTGATCGGTTTTCTGCTGTTAACCAATGAAATCATCGGGGGATAATTCCTTTTAATCTACTTTATCCAAACACGCCAAATTCATTATCATTAGTTGGATGAACGGGTGGTAGAATGACAAGAATCAAGATTAACTAGGGTAGGCAAAGGGTGGGTTGGTGTTTTAAACAACGAGGACATCACCATGACGTTGTTTTCTCCCAGCCGCACCGAGACGTGACTTTTTATTTGTTTAATTCTGCACATGGGCACCATGTGACTGACTCCTAGTCTGCCAAGAAAGGAGTCAAAATCGCTCATCGTAAAAACATCTGTCCCCGATTTGTCAAAATCCAAGACAACGTTTTGTTCAAAACACAAACAACAAGTCTGAGAGCGACAGGACATTTGTGTTTTTTGGACCAATCGGGATTGCAGCAGGTGCATCGTTGAACGGTGATTGGCCAATTACATTGTGCTTCAACTGCGAATATCATATTGGTGACTAACATTTGCCAGAATTCACTATTTTCTCCGGTGTGGAAAATATTGTCAGTAAAACCTCACGGCGCATATTGCATGTACATGAGCATAATTATCTCAAATAACGCAACCGTTCGGTTTAAAAAAAAACGTAGTTTTTGCGACTGCTCTGTAGACGCAAACTGTCCTTCGGCTGGGACTGCTTTTCAAGGCAACTTGTTAAACTCAGGTAACACTTGAGGCGAGTGGATGCGCTGGCAACAATCAGAGACACCCTTGCACTTGCCTCTTCCATTTGCCCTTTCAAAACACAGCTTCGGCACGCCATGTTTCCCTGTTTTAACTTGTGCATTGCAGCCTTTTCTATCAAACACACACACACACACACACTTATCAATGTTTGTTGAAATCATTGGTGTCGTAGAAACTAATTCATGCTATAGGTGTTCGAAATGCTGCAGATTTTGGGCCACACTTTGCGTGAAAATCCCAAATTCTAAGACTGAAACAGCCTGCTGCAACCGACGCAAACATCAGTCGAAGGTACCTGTTCAATCAGGACCTCGCTAACCAGCCTTCTTGCACACACAGGCTAAACTGACAGTTCAGCAAAACGATAGTCTAGGCGCCTGGAGACAGCACATTCACACTTGACTTGTTAATCGTGGCCTGTTCGTTGGCTAATTGGTTCAGCCTGTTGAATGCTTGTCACTTTGTTAATACTACTTATTTGCATGCTGTGGGAGGTCACGAAGGCATGCTGAAGGCTTAATCCGCACGCATGTTCTGCCAACAGGGAAGACACTGCCCGATTCTACGGCAGCCAGGTCGTCCTTGCACTGGAGTACTTGCATTCCATGGACATCGCCTACAGGGACTTGAAGCCAGAGAATCTGCTCATTGATAGACGCGGTTACCTCAAGGTCAGTTGGTTAATTTTTTTTCTGGAAATAAAACTGTTCCTATTCTTGAGTCTGTAAGTGAAGCAAATGCAGCGAAAGTCACAGCTTGGTGTGTAACACCCGAACACACGTCGTCTTCATGTGTTTATTAAATGGCGAAATTGTTTATTTAAAAGTGAACCCACGGCCTCAAAGCGTGTTTTCATGGCGCCATTCAAAACCTCTCACACAAAAAAACGATTTTCCTGTTCAAATTATCCTTTAATGATGGAGAACAAACATAAATTTCGGGTCAGGATTTCTGTTTTTGAAAAATAACTGGTGTCGTACGCGTTTTGTTTTCGGAAATGATAGATTTTAATGGCAAATTATCCATAGCAAAACTTCGGTCGCACATAATTCAGACAAACTGGGGTGTATGGGGAACCATTACAACAATTTTGCCCATACGTTCATCAGAAAATCCCAAGTTTTTTCGTGACAAACAAAGCATGACAAAGTGAACAACAATTATGCGTGCTCAACAAGTTTGAACGTGCTCGACGCATGACATTCACCTGTTGGAATTTGCTTGTGTTTACTTTAACCGAATGTTTATTGCAAAGTTTAATTTTTCATCCAACGACATTATGATTAAATCTGCAGATTATCTTCAAAACACCGAGCAGATGTGTAGACGTCTACCTCCAGTAAACATTCAAACTGAATTTCAAGAGTTCCGTTTGATTCGCTTGCCCAAGTCTGTTATTACTGATTGGTTTTCGCATCCTTGGCTTAGTATTGGTTAAATTCAATCCAAACGCTTCACCACGCATAGGATGATTGAAAAGGGGAAATTTATCAGGCAGTGGACGTTGATTTCAACGTGTCCTCCTTAATTTAATAAAACGTAGCCAACGAGTTCAGTGACTACAGCAGATCTTACTATAACTAGTTGCAGACTGTCACGTTTCTGACTCCCGGTTTTTTTCAAAATCGGATGCGTTGCAAGTCTGACGCGAAATCTACGGTTATTGTGCCTGATCTCTTGTGTGCATTTTATTTTCAGCTCACTGACTTTGGTTTTGCGAAGATTGTGAAGGGCAGAACTTGGACTCTCTGTGGCACTCCGGAATACCTCGCACCTGAAATTATTCTCAGCAAGGCAAGTCATTTGTCTGTTCGGTTGGGGCTCGAACCCGCGTCAGGGTAGCTGCGTCACCAGCGCTCTGTTGTGGTTCGATGCGACACGACGGCTTGAAAGAGGTCAAAAACGATTTCGGCTCAGACGTTCACTGAACCGTTGGGATAGCTTTCGTGGAGGTTGAGGTCAAATCGTGTTGTGAAACAGAGTTGTGTCATTTGACGTTTGTGATACATTCAGTCTTTGTGCGAACTCTAGGGCACTAACATAGCAACCTAACTCAACTATGGCGTCAATCTGGTTGGTTAATATTGTGTAAAAAACTTGTCAAGGGGAAATTTTTGAACAAGTTCTGACACCTTGCACCTGCGCCTTTGTCGTTATGGCAACGAAACGCTATAAAATTGGTCAAATATGTTAGTTTTCTTCAATTCTTGTTAAATTGGCCCCCAAGGTGTTAATTGTTACAGTTCAAGAGGAGAAATTGCCCATTTCTGGACGCCAATTTTCATGTCGACTCGATAAACATTTAACTCACTTTATGGCTATAAAGTGTGCCATGTACTAGAAATTAATAGCACCACCACCGCCGCCGCCACCACCTGGGACTAATTCTGTTACAGTGCCCACCAGCACACATAGACGCCGCTGCGGCACGTGATAGGCTCTTTACGATTGCTTCGATTGGTCATTCTGCAGGGCTACAGTCGAGCAGTTGATTGGTGGGCAGTGGGCGTGCTCATCTTCGAGATGATTGCTGGCTACCCTCCCTTCTTCGCCGAGCAAGCACTCCAAGTATACGAGAAAATTGTCGCAGGCAAGGTATGTGTATACGGCTGTTTTTGCCTGTCTCCACAACGGTACAAATCGTCGAGATCAGAAATCGATCGCGTTGGAGTTTTAGGGTCGCCCATTTCAAGTAGAGCTCGTGAGCACCAGGTTACAACGGTTGACAGTGTGCCTCGAAATTAGTAAGCTCACGTTGATGTCGAAATTCGATACAGCATTTTACTCATCTGAGCGCCAATGAGCAACATTGATCATTTTGCTTCTGTTCTCCTATTGGCCAAGTCAACTAATGGAGAGGCCGCGATGCTGATTTGCTATTGATCAATTTCCATTTCAATTTGTAGTCACTGGTCGATAGTCACCATTTATAGCGAAACTACCTACACCCTTATCTCTAAAACTCAGGCGTAATCTGAACTAGAGTGGTTGTCCTTAACTAGAAATCTTAAAATCAAATGAGATATGAGTTGCCGGGAGGTCAACAGGCAGACATTGGTCTTACCGGTCTTCGTAGGCCCGGCTCTCGTGTTTCTTTCTAACGTTTGTTTGAATTGGCACAACATTCACATACCGGTTAAATTAATCCTGATTGGTTATTGGCTCTTACACTTTGATTGGTCGATGAGGAATATTGACACCCGTGATTGGCAAACAAAGTACACTTTCTAGGGAAAGAAGTCACCGTTTTGTTTAGGTGAGGTTTCCAATGTTTGTTTGAATTGGCAAAACATTCATACACCGGCTAAATTAATACTGATGTTGATTGGTCATTGGCTCTTAAACTTTGATTGGTTCTTCGTGGTCGATGTAGAATATTGACACCCCTGATTGGTGAACAAGGTACACTTCTTGAGGAATGAAGTCACGGTTTTGTTTAGGTGAGATTTCCCTTCTTCATGAGCACCGACGCTAAGGAGTTGCTTGGAAACCTCCTCCAAGGTGACACCACAAAGCGGTACGGCAACATGCGCAACGGCGTCGCCGACATCCAAAGCCACGTCTGGTTTGCCTCCATCGACTGGGTCGACATCCTCGAGCAGAAGGTGAGTTTGGACCTCGAAGTTGGCCACGATTTGCCAGTTAACGTCGCAGCAGCCAATGACGATTAATGTGGTAATTTGCACACCCGAGCATGGAAGATGGCGTGGCGCCGAGAACGTACTCATAGTTGCAACCTCGGTGATGTAACGCTAGTACTTTAGTGTGTCTTGAGATTTACTGTGACAACGCGGTGCTTGTAGATTTCGTTTGCTGTGAAAAATCCGACCCCACGAAAAACCATTAACGTTGGCACATGTGCTGACCTTGAAACAGGTCATAGATCGACGCTATTTGAACCGATTCAAAGATGTGCTATCATGTGGAGATGACTTTTGAACAGAGTCTGAATCGAATTGCACCAGTGGTTGCATTTTGGTCGTCGAACGTCGGATAGTTAGATGCAAATTTACGCTGACGGTTACCAGGCGACAGCGCGCCTGACCCACGCCATGATGTCTTCCCCGAAGCCGCACATCTCTTGTAGGTGAAGGCGCCGCACGTGCCGACCGTGATAGACGAGGCGGACGCCTCCAACTTCGACGACTACCTCGAAGAGACCCCCGACACCAACGCCAGCATGCTGTACGCGGAGGAGTTTGCCGACTTTTAGCCAACGCTGCTCAAAACCGATTGACCCCCCACCGCCTCATCTGATCGCTCTACCCCCCCCCACACCACACCCGTCTACCACGACGCCATGCACGTGACTATCTGTGATGTGCTCACGCCTCTCTCCCTCCCTGTTTTGCTTTTTGTGCCCCCGGAAGAACGAAATTGACAATTCTAGCGGCCCAATTCTGTGCATACTCCTGTACATACACACGCTACCTTTCGATGCCAACGATTTGAATAACACACGACGTGCCGACCAACTGTCACTTCTTGTGTTCACGCGGCGGCACCTGGGATGCGGAAAAAGCAGCGTAGACATGTCAGTACAAAGATACAATGCATTTGTATTGACGCAAAAACGCTAACACAGAAACGTGCAACCAAGTCAGGGAGCGTCGAGGTCAAAGTAGCTGTTCCCACGGTCCCCGTCGTGCCTAAAATTAGACCAGACATTTAGAGGTAAGGTAGGTAGGTAGGTTTCGACCACTACAACCAGCCAATAAACTGCAAACACTTCTTGCGTTGTGTGCTAGGGCACAAAGTTTTAACCGGATGAATTTCCCCAGAGGCTAGAAGGCACCCACGGTTACCCAACGGCCACTTAGTTGATAGGTAGTTCGGAAACAATTGGCCAATAGAACTGCTCCATTCCAGCTCGCATTTGATTGGCGAGAGCATTTACGTTACCAAAACGAACCTATAGTAACTGTTGCGCCTCTGTCCGCCGCCGTTAGGAGCCCAGGAATTCGGTCGATTGTAGCGTCGTTGGTTGCTATTGACGCCGCCTCGGTTGTAGTAGCCGCCACCGCCACCACCACGAGTGTTCCAGTAGCGAGTGCGTGGTGCGTAGGGCGCAAAGGGACTACCGAGACCCCCCACGGCCTGGCGATTCCGCGGTGGGACCTCGTCGTCGCTCTCGCTGCCCTCATCCTCTTCTTCCTCGTCGACTGAGGGCTTGCGCACGGGAAGACGACGCTTCGGCGGTCGCATCAACTCCGGCCGCATTGGATCGAGCAGAAAGTTGTTGAAAAAATAGGCCTGTGTTGTGGAAAAACCAGCTACTTATTTAGTAGTGAGTAAATAGTATTTTGAAAGTGATGTGATGCTACGGAGAAACTTACATTCTCCTTTTTGGCTTCCTCAACCTTCTCCATGTGCTTGTTCAAAATGTGCTTCCTCACGAAGGCAGGCCCACGGAACTTCTTGTCGGACAGCGGACATACCCAAATAATATCGCTAAAGAAGACAGGGTTCAGGGAATGAGGCTCTGAGGCAATCACTTCCCCCCCCCACACACACGCGCGCGCGCATTAAATACAGAACGCACACTTTTCGCTTTTTGCGCTTAGTGTTGGCCTTTATGAAGGCTTCGACGACATCGTCGACGTCGCGATAACCGAGAAGACGGAGGCGTCGGCCGTTGGTGTCCGAGTCCTTCGTGTGGGCACCTTCGGCTGCCTCTTGCTGCTGCTGCGGTTGCTGCTGTTGGTTGTTCTGTTCCCCCTCAACCGACTGCGGCGGCGGCGGCGCCGACGGAGGCAACGACGCAGCCTCATCCGCCTCCCCCTGTCTGACAAGCGGGGTCACCAGTCGGAAGATGCGACACAGTTGGCGAGCGAAGACCTGACAATGAGGGGAGGAGATGCAATGTTGATTGTGTTCGTGGCAATTTCCATCTCAAAACGCTTTTTTGTATTTGCAATGCTACCAATTTCAAATTTCATCCCTTCGGATTACGCTTTCTCTCATATCGACCGCGCACTCGCCCTATTGGCTAATACCTCCAACTTCAAACTAACCGCGTAATCATCGCATTGGCTAATGCTCAATGACCCCAATTTAAAGCTTGTGCGCAATCATCCCTTCGGCTTACGCCTTCCTCATTTTGACTGACGACTCATCCTATTGGTTGATACCCATTTTTAGGTCGACCGCGCATTCGCCTTATTGGCTAATGTCCAATGCCCCCAATTTCAAACTAAACGCGCAATCATCCCATTGGTTAATGCCAAATGCCCCCAAATTCAAAATAATCCCGCAATCATCTCTCTGGCTTACGCCTGCTTTCACATCGACCGCAGATTCATCCTATTGGTTGACGCCCATTTTTAAGTCGACCGCGCATTCGCCCCATTGGCTAATGCCCAATGCCCATCAATTAGCCACAGCACACGAGCACAAAACCGCAGCAACAGGCTAAGTGAGCAACCGACCTTGTGCGCGGAGGCGGTGGTTGGTTGTTTGGCGAAGACTGGACGCGGTGGGGAGGGGAGGCGCGCTGACGGCGCCCCCGACGGACGCACGTGGAGGAGGCCGCAGGGGTGCGGCATGTCGCTCTCGCGGGGGTACAGCGCCGGGGCGTAGAAGTCGACAGAGTAAACAAGACGCAGGTACAGCACCAGCGTGTCCAGCGCCCGCGTCAACTCCGCGTCTGCGGGCTGCGAGTCCTCCGCGTCGACGGGCTTCTGAGGCGACGCCGCCTTGGGACTACCGCCGCCGCCACCTGAACACCATGACGACAGGGTCAACACAAAAATCGACTCTGATTTGAGCACTTGTGTGTTAGACGAGTCTGGCGTTTGAAGCCTTACAAGTCTTGACAGGGTGACAGTGTAACTGGTTGCATTGAATTGTGCGCCGATTTTCGAGATAGATTTAAACAAAACCCAGAAAACTATTTGCATGCCTTCAACAAATGTTGCTGCGTCTGTGAAACAGCGCCATTTGTCTTTTAAATCACAACGGAAATCCCGAACTAGACATACTACCCTGTATTTTATAAGTAACGAAAAACTTTTTTTAGAATCGGCACGGACATTAACTAACTTATACCATGTGCTTGCGGTGCTTTAAAAAGTGTTTACCACTAGACCAATGAATGTAATATTGGATAAGCACAACTACCTTAAACCAAGTGCTGTAGGTGCTACTTACATAAGATTGAGTAGGCGGTGTTTTAAGGCGCCTGCACTTACCACTGTAGAGAAGAACCTCGTCTGGATTGCTCTCATCGACGAGGTGATCGGTGAGGTTTTCTAGCAACGGATTTGCAGTGCTAACCGAGAGGTCCGTCAGAACGCTCGAGGCGCCAATCAAATTTCCCTCCGGGTCTAATTCGTGTAGCCTTGGAATTGACCAATCCGAAGCTGAGGGAGACTCAGCACTATCTATTGTAACAAAAATTGCGACGCTCGGTTATGACGCGTTAAACGGCTGAGATTGGAGTAAAGTAGACTCACTTGGGGCCTTCCACAACCCCGAAACTTCGTCCAGACGTCCAACGAGTTTGGCTGCCATTACCAAATGCCTGCGCATAACCGCCTTGCTGCAGATCGGGTTCAGCGCGGCGTTCTTGCTAGTTGCCGCCAAGGTCGCTGCTAGCCGCGAAGAGGCGCGCACGCGTTCCAAACAAAAAGGCCCGGGCAGAAGGCGAGCAGCGGAGAGACAGGCGGCCAGGTCGGTGGCCTCGCGACTGCCCTGCTCCTCACGCAAGCGCTCTGCCAATTGGTGGACAAAGTCGAGTGGAGCAGGAGGCGGCAGCGGCGGCGGAGGGGGCGGCGGAGGGGGCGGCGAAGACGACGCGCGGTCAGCTCCGCGTGGTCGCAGGGCCGCGAACGTGATCCACGCGGGTCTGTGAAGAACGAGGGAGGTGGCTGCACGCGGCAGCGCCAGCGGAGCAAGCGGATCGTTCAGGGCGGTGGACGGCGCGGGTATCGGAGTGGGGTCCAGGCACACGAACCGCAAGAAATCCGGGTGCTCGGATAGAAGCTGTGAATAGACGCAGAGTGGAATTCACGATTACCCCAACCAGCCACAATGATCGTATTGTCAAATTTGTCATTGGGCAAAGTGAGAGACGATTGGCTGGAACCTCAGTTTTCCAACCAGCCAATCAAAACATGATGAAAGATTGCTCACCGTTTCGATTGTGGCTCGATGAACTGTGAGAGGGAAGTAGGGCAGAAAGACCACCCTGGTGGCGTGGATGGGAGGTTTAACAGGTTCGCTGGAGGTCTCCTCCTCCACCTCCACCTCCTTCTTTTCGTCTACCTCCATTTTTGCATCGTCGCCCTCATTGTTAGCCGCCTCAGCCGACTGCACTTCCGTTGGGTCAGAATCCTTTACCGCTGAGGGCTTCGCGTCGATTTTTTTTCGCCGTTTATGCTTCCCCGACATCTTTTCATCTTCTTCATTGTGGCTAGAGCCTCGAGAGGTGTGGTGGGAGGAGGAAGAAGAAGTCGAGGAGGATGTGGACGCCGATGAGGAGGAGCTGCGGCTGGAGACACTGGAAGAGCTTGAAGTGGACGTGGAAGCAGACGTCGAGGAGTTGGAGCTTGATGTGCTTGAATCGCTGCTGTTACCATCGTCGTCTTCGTCCGTGGAGCTGTGCGCGGACGTTTCCGTTCGCGTCGTTCCACTACGACCCGCCGACGATTTCTGCTTTTAAAAAATTTGCTAAAGTTTGGCAAATTCGCTGATCTGCAGCCCATTAACTTTACAAAAAATGTGTGTAGCAATGACGAAATCGATGAAGAAGGGAAAAGCACGTACCCGTTCTCGTTTGGTTGATTTTTCTTGAGGTGGATTTTCGAGAGAGGAGGAGAGCATCGTTGTTTGGTTTGCTGATTGCACGACTGAAGTCGAAGACGTCGCAGATGACTTCATCTTTTCGCGGACGTCGTTACTAACGAGTAGCGACTTCGGGTCGAACGTCTCCAGCTCCGCTAGATCATCGGATGTTCCGCCCGCCATTAAAACCGCAACTAATTTAGTCAAAAAGTGCAATTTCTTAAAGGGGCGGGGACAATTTCGGTGAAACAGATTTTAAAAATCGGTCGGCGAAAACATTAAAGGGATAAATTCCCAGCAAACTCTAATAATCAAGTAGGGATATGAAGTTTTTTTGATCACGAATTACCACATTAGAGATGCATGGCAATTAAAACTGACAGACATTGAAAGAGGTTGGGAACAAGCCCGGGTAGAATTTACTCAATCATGCATGTCAGTTTAGAGATTTGGGAAGTTATTCCAATTTCTCAATTTTAAAAGCGGGTAACATCAACCAACCAGCATAAAAACAGTGACTTACACTGATCCAAAAGTTTGGTGATTGCAGCTCTCTCTTTATATTCCAAAGAAATATTTCCAAAGAATCCGTCGTAGTACATCTTCTTAAACACATCAAAACGCGCGATGATAGCATCCTTGTCCTTATTTTTGGATGCGACATGGTCAGGATGATACTTATCGCGGAACCTTAGAAAAGGGATTCACCATTAAAACCAGGTCCTAGTTTCTATAACCATTCCACTTAACTTCGATTGCTCATAAACATTTTATCAATTACAAATCGTCATATAAAAGAAAGTGCAAAAGAACGTATAGCGCTCCAATCAGAGATACACCAAAATAAAATACCTACCACGCACTGTTTTTGTGACGCTCAAACTGATCAGAAAGTTGTTCTTTTAAAAAGCCTGCGATATATGTACTGTATTTTTTAGCAGCATCTTCATCTGTAAGAGCAGATTCATCAAATGGCTCAAGGAATTTTGATAAAGACATCATCTTTGGGGCAAAAGTTGGCTGTAGGAAAGTCGTAGTTTCACTTTTCTGTATATGCTCGATTGGCTGAACATCCACTGTCTCACGAACATTATCCTGAGAAGGAGCCACCTGATTTCCTATCTTCTCATGTGCCAAAGTCATTTCTGCGATGCACAAACGAACTAAAGAGTGCTATTTACAGCCACCGCCACGAAATTTACTGCTGCTTAGCCATTCAGATTACAACTGATTTGTGAGTAGTGTTGCCTGGTAAAAGTAGCATCAATTTGCCCTAGGATGTACTAAAAAGTAGAATATTTCCAAGCAGAAACCTCAGGTAATAGCTGTCAAAAAAAGGTTAAAATGCTGGAAGAAGTTTATTCACTGGTACTAAAACGACTAAAAATGTGTCTGTGGTGTTACTTACATATTCAGTCCGTAAAGTTAAAAAAAGTATAGATCTGAAGTTTAACGTCTTAATAATTTTAAAAGTAATTGTCCTACCCAATGCAATAGTTATGCACATCAAAATTTCAATTCTCTGTAGCAAGTTTATTCGAGTTCTTCGTTGATATGAACTTAGTGTCGAAAAATGCAACATTTCGGTTTTATTATTCTACAATAATTCATAAAAAAAATAGCATTTATTCATATTTTAGTGAACTATGGAAAAGTAACGGTTCTAATTTATATTTATAAAAATTATGTCCAACATCACGTTCACTTTTAAATAAAGGGCTGTCATTCGTGTAAATAAATGTTGGTAGTGCATGTGCTGAAACTGCCGTGAAATTTAAGACTTTTAATTTGGACCGAGTTTCTTTTTTGGAGCTCTTAATAGTAGCTTGGCTGATTTTAGCTTGACAACTTTAGTCAAAATGCTTAATTTCTGAAGTGCCTTACTAGAGTGTAGGCTTATTCAATCACATCAAGCTCGTAAATCCTCTACCTCTGCACTTTAACTGATCTAAATTGAAGATCAGTGGCTAACTAGAGGCAAGAACGAATGAGAAGAAATATATGTTTGTGCTTCGAAACCAGTATATATGACTCGAGTGGACCGCACCCAACACACGACTCTTGCTCATAGTTGGTCAATAACATTACTTTGCTGTATCAGGCACATTCATACAGACCCAGGTATTCCACATCAAGCTTTGGGCGAAATTCTGTCACTGCTTATGACTTTGTCTCTGATTAGGTAAATAATACTTCACTGAATGCCATTTAAACAAATGCGTATATGTAATGAATCTGGTGCGAATCGCGTTGTTTCAGACTCTTTAATCCAATCACTCCAGCCTCCGTCACAGAGTCCCCCGTTTCGCAGCATTCCGCCAGCCGCGTGGATCCTTAACTACCCCTCAGTAGCACGAGCATTTATCCTGGATTATCACCGCACCTGGTTTTTAACGTTAGCACATCTGTGACTCATGCACATGAGGAATAAATACACACGCACAAACACCACCGACGACACAACGACACCAACTTGGTTGAACTCTGAAGTAAAGGGCTGTGTCCATATTGTCTCCGGGCACCTTCTTAATCGTGGGTAGTAGAGAGGCGTGATTTGTCTGAATTCAACTTATTATCGCTGGCGTGGTTCAAGACCACATGCTAGGGCCCACAGCATTTGGTTACCACGACGTGCTGGTAAATGCTACGACAACCCCTACCCTTCGCACCCCAGAGTTCTACCTGACTTATTCTTTTTCAAATTATTCGAAAAGCAGAAGCTCAATGCGATTGAAGAAGTTGCATAAAAACCATACATACATAATTTTAAATCCGAGCAACCGAAATGTGCAGCATCACCGTCATAACACCAACGCGTACTAAAATAAATTCAGTAGAAATTCGACCTCATTTGCTCACAGCGTTATTCGAGTTTAAGGCACCAGTGCTGCTAGATGTCTGAAAAATGAAATAAAATCAGGAGTTTTTGAACATTTAAAAGCACAACCTGGGCTAAGATTTATTGGAATTGGTTTGTTTTAAAAACAACTAGATGATTTTCCTTGAAAATTGCCCAGTCAGCTGCTTTTTGTTCAAAATATCCCATGCGTCAGCATTTGGACAGTCAGAAATTGCAGGAGAAGCACTTGTCGGAATGACTTTGGTTGTGTTTGAGCAGCGCTCTACAGGCAGTTGCCGTAATCCTCGTCGTGCGGCATCGGCAAGCAGGTAAAGCCCTCACAGCACTGTGGAGCTGCGGTTCTACAAACGGCTCCAAGAGATCCGCAGTAGATCCGGTAGAACATGCAACACTCACATGCGGCTGTGTTAAGTGACAGAAATAAAAAATATTTGATCACTAAAGGCACTTCGCCAAGGCCACGATTTTCCTGGGAGCGGCAGTCAGTGGCCTTGAATGAACTGTGCAACTTTCACTCTCTGAATTTAATCACAGAAGAGCTCTGTCTAACTGTTATACTATTATTGATTTTCTTAGCACCGTCCATCATAAATAGCTAGAATTGGCATTACCGATTCGGCAGATTTAAACAAGACAAACATTTCAAGGTCACATATCCTAAACCAAGTACACAGTGCTGATAAAATAAAATTTATATGGTCGCAGAAGAACTCAATCGTACTTACCCAGCAAATCCAGAGTAAAAATTGCCAAAAATGTCAGAAAAATTGCTGGTTTGGAGTCCATTTATGCGTTTTTGGTGTGCGACAACCTGTTTTATACGTGGTCTCAAGGTGACAAAGTAACAATTGTGACAAATTAGCGTGTGTATTCAACTCTCACATTTTTCAGTGTTAAATTATTTCAAATGTCTACATCTTGTGAATTTTAGTTTCGCTTATTTATTGATACATAAATTTCATGGGATTTAATTCACTGTTGCGCCAGCAACCCACCACACTAAAACAACATTGACCTCCACTAAGG